CGATAATTAACGCGACGGCAAAATTCCGCGGCTACTCAATTTACCCAAAATGGTAGAGGGGGGGGGTTCGGGAGAAACGGAAGAGATCTTGAGAATCGAGAACACGGGAGTAAAAATGAGCATTCGATAAGTTAAAATAAGGATAACAATAATATATTAAAAGAAACAATAGTATAAAGCAGTTCGCATAAGTAAGTCTTTGATGAGAGTAGTTATTTTACAGGTGAATCAAATATCATATTATTTCCACGGAGATCGACACGACCGTGCGCAACCGTATCAAATTACCGGGCGTCTTAGGTGCTTTAAACTCGACTTTTCGGCCGCGAGGATTTCCGCCGTACGAGACTTATCTAGGCCGAGACAACTAAAGAAATCTCTCGAATGCGCCGGTAACTACTTTACGCACGCCCGTGAATCCGCTTCGATATAATAGAAAATTCTAGATGACACGGCTCGAATCGGTCCTTTAGCCGGGTTGCGGGGAGCCAGTATACGTCTCGATAACAATGACGATGACCTTTGCGTTGAAATGCCGAATATATAACTCGAATGACTCGCGGAAACTAATAGCGGGCTCAAAGATACCCGATAGATCTCCCTGCACGATTTTTAAGGATTTCGCTTTCTCCTTACTCTAATTTCTTACAACACATACAAGATACTTGCTAACAATGCACAGACAGAATACGGAAATGATTGAGAATGACTGTGGTGTACGAGTCGCGTGACGCAATACTTTGCGCGATCCGGAATATCGATCGCACGAGCGTGAAAATCCCGATAATTTACAACATATAATGATTATAAACGCGCAACTAACATTAATGACTGTCGGCGGCGGCGAAATGAATAAAGAGAGCTTATTTTATATAATTCGGATGAGTGACGAATGCCCGTCGGCCGTGCGACGGAATCTACCAAAAATTCCACAAAAGTTAATTCACAAAACGCGTGGCTCGACAACTATTAAGGGCGCGACTCATCCGAATTAATTACCTACAATAAATCGGCAACAAAATCGGGCTGACGACACTCGTCCCACCGACTGGAAGCTCTCGATTCTCTTTCTTGTCCGGTAATTAGGATACGCTCTGTGAGGCCTGCGTCCTTCTCGCTATCTCGCCGAACGAGAGTCCTGCAGGAGACACGCCGGCGCGATAAATCGCTATCGTGCCACCTGTGGCGCTTTCGCGTTACGCAGGGCTGTCCTGCGGTCCTGTTGTCGTCACGGCCGTGTTGGTGGGTTCATCGCCCCGGAATTTCCAAAATTTTGTTGTCGTTTGGCTTAGAAGTGCGGGCTTACGGCTGCGCCCGATTGGCTCTTCTCCTATTTTACTGAATAGGCCTATGAGTGAGAGTCCTCTCGCCACTCCGTCCTTGGGACTCCCTCGCTTCGTGCAGGTGGAGTGGCCGCCCCTTCGGCCGGATTCTTCCGGCCCTTCGCGCCTCTTTCCTGGCGTAAGAAATATAAGATTACCGGCAGCGATGTTTCCTTGCCACCAAAAAATAGTTTTTAATATTATAAAACTACGACCTGACGTCTCCTGTTCCCTGGGTGTCCCGGACTCCCGCTCTCGGCTGTCGCTCTTCTCTCTTCCTCTTCTTCCGCCGGGTGGGATCTCGCCGCTCGACCTTGTGCCGACAACTAACTCGCGGGCTCATATCGAGCATACATTTTTGATTCTTAAACAAAAAGTCAGATCTCGTCGATCTGACGATCGGGCCGCTCTCTCCCTAAATTAGGAGGACGCAGGCCCCCGAAAAACCGCCCGCGATCGGGCCATTCGGCGCGGGCTCATTACATTTTTGATTCTTAAACAAAAAGTCAGATCTCGTCGATCTGACGATCGGGCCGCTCTCTCCCTAAATTAGGAGGACGGGAGGACGCGAAAAACCGCCCGCGATCGGGCCATTCGGCCCTTGTGACGGACGTCCCAAAAACGTCACGTCACAGTATACAGTGTTAAATTTTGTAACGAAGGAATGATGATCGGGGATAAAATTTTTAATGTGAATAAAGATGACAATATAATTATCGGTGGAATAAAGTACGTGGGAATACCAGGTCTCTACGAGTTGATTTTCAAGAGAATTCCCGACGATGACTCATACACTGAAAATGATATGTATAAATATAAAAGTATATTACTGGCGACAAATGCGCATAGACGTGGCAACAATATGTATAATCCAGTATTAAGTAACAAGGGATACAAGTATAAACACATAATAGCGTCATTAATCTCTGGTGAAAAAGCTGGAAAAAAATATAAACATACCGCGCGCTATGACATTAAACGATAATAAGATCGATTATGTGCATTGGAATGATCCTAACGAGTTGGTAAATCGTCTGCGATTGCTGGAAGCTTCACGTCAAGCTGGCAACAATGCCCACGACAATGAAATATTATCGATTAACGAGGAACTTTGCGAAACTGGCCTTATTATAAATTAAACTATGCGTCGACGAAAGGAGTCAGTCTGTCATTATTGTTTGTATCGAAATGTCGATTAATAAATTTGAATTATCGTTGGGAACACCGAACAACTCATACTATCAATGGAATGGATTACTAAGAAATTACGTGCGCGATAACGCTCTGTCAGACAGCCTCCGGCTTTGACGCAAGGTCGTGCAAGATACGAAGCATAGCGCAACCGAAAGATAATAATGATGCCGCAAACAAACGGTACGTGGAAATAAGTGTCAAGCTTTTGCAAGATCGACAGGAAGAATTTGAGAAAAAAATAATCACGCTCGAGACGAATATGCAGACGCTACAAATAATGATGGATGAGATGCAGAAATTGCTTCGGTATGCAACTCACGCGCAGACTACATCT